ATGATAAGACCATTTTCCCATTTTTAAAACTTTCCAAGTATATGCAATGTAATCAAACATTTCATCACTGTATAAGGTATAACATACTGTTAGATTTCCAACTGAAATAACATTTGAAATGCTGCATACATGAACATAGTGCCTGACTCATCGGATAGTATAAGTATAAAAATCTATTATTTTTTTCGTTAATAGTGGCATATTACCCATTCTTCTTTGAAATAAATCAAATATTAACTTCGAAATGAAATATCAAACTTTGATACCATTCCATCAAGAATTGAAAACCCAATGCAATTGCAATTACTTTTGCTATACCAAAAATGCTAGTTATCAGGTAACCGATCTTTTTAAAATTATGTCGAAGTAGGCCATTATGAGCTTATGCTTTTTGACAATTGATGCATTGCTTGATTTGTGTAATCTTGCTGGGTTCACAATCTCAATTTTGCCAATTTCAACGTCTAATTATAAAAATGACCTGAGCTCTACTACCTTCACAAATGACAGTCAAGGATGGCTATGAATTGGATTGTTTTCATGTCTACATTTTGACATGCTGTACGCTGGGTCTCCGTCGAGATTTCTGTTATAACGGGCGATCAAAAATGAGTTGCTGTCGAGTTGCCTTTGGAAGTTCAAGTTAAATACGATTTTCCATGTAAACAAAAATTCCAAAGGTAACTCGACAGCAACTCATTTTTGATCGCATTGTATATCCGTCAATATCGAATGTACAAAGTCACATGGCAAAATCTAGTATTATTTTAAAATGCTATTTATTTTAGAAGACCATTACAGAAAATTTACAAAAAGAATCTGATTATTCCAATAATAAGAATATCGGCTTTACAGATTAAACCTTGGGTTAGTTAATCACTAGATTAACATTATCACTGTTCTCAAAATGTTCAACGTGTGCTAATAATAGTCTTATTTATACACCAGTGTCAATTGTTTTTGTAATGAACAACTGACAGTTTGTGCACAGCATTTAAATTTAAATTGTCTCCAATTTTTCTCATCTGCAGATCTTAGATCATGATCTAAGCTGCAGACAGTCTTTACCAAGGTCTTTACAAGGTTACATGTCATTTCTTACAACATCGCACTGCTGTACATTCCTTTTCTGTTGGCATTTTTATTATAGATGGAATTACTTATGGGACTTCTGCATAATAATGTACCATTAAATATACATGCTTCAATATTTGAGAATTGCAACGAAGCATTTAAATTAATTTTTTTTCTAAATCAAGATAGATTTATTTTTAACGAACGGATTAAGGAGGTGACTGCTAATAAGTACTGCTTCACTAAGAATAATAATTTATCTTCAAGCACCTATAACCACACCCATATTACTTATTGATTTTTTCTATTACATATAGATAAACATAATTTTTCCTACTATTAAGAGTCGGGATATAGGACACATTCTTACTCCCTGCGTGATCATACACTGCCACATAAATAACCATGCAGTTACGTCACGAATGCAGACATAAGTGACACAGTTATTTATGCACCAAATCAAATTAACAATAAATCAGTGACCGAATGGGATCTTTGATCAGACGGTCATTACCAAAAATACAAAAGTCTGAATATCTTAATTTAATACAGAATTGTAAAGCAATAAGCGTCGTCTTACCTATATCAACTTTTGCGTCACCATTCTGTTTCTCATTCGAAACGAATTTCACATCGGCCACATTAATTTTCGAATGGTCACCTACTTTAACATCATCTTCTGGCAGCATCTTCTCGTCTGCACCGTCTTTCTCCATTCCGTTACTTTTAGCTTTTAAAACCCGTTTGGATTGTTCGACGGCCGCCTCTGCAATTAAAATTCCTTCATGCACAAGCAAAAAGAAGCTGATGCAACCCTCTTTTTTTTTACCTTCCATATCAACTTCAGGAATCTGTTTGTAGACAGCGGACGGCGATTCTTTATCCGGCTTAGCGGATATGTCCAATTTAGTGCTGTCCATTTTACACTAATTAACAAGAAATTAGATAATTGTGTTTCTTTTATTGAAAGAAAACCTCAAGGATGAATCAATACGGATTTCGGACACGAAGTTAACCTGCTTATATGGCAACGATTATGGAAATTCGTAAAAAGTTTCGCCAACGTGATAAAAAAAAAAGACAATGTCATACAGGAGGTATCAAAGTTTATCAGAAGCGCAGGTTCGATGGCAAAAAAATGTATGTAATAGTTTTCGATAGTTTAACTTTCTGTCCGTCCGTCCGTTTCGTATGTGTACATAGAACTTGCGAACGGTTTCGAATTTTTATCATCACCCAAGGAAGAACTGACTAAATTTTTAGGGACCCAGTAGCTTGTTTGCTATATTTGTTACAAGTTTATTAATTATGTTATAAATATTTACCCAACGCTTCGTAAAAGATTTATTTGTAGAACATTGTAATCCTATTTATAAAACAAAGAACGATCCTGACATCTAACGATTAAAAGGGAAAATATTTGAAAGGTCAATAGCTGCAAAGATATAGCTGTTTATTGTACAAGTTGATAAAATTGCACTTTATCTAGGAGAGCGATTTTATCGTCGCCTCAACGCTAATAAGCATCGAGAAGATCATGAAAATTGATCGTCGTGTGGAGTACAACATTTTTTCTATAGATAACTAAAACTAAAACTGTACGTATGGCTTATTTATCAGAACAGTCCATGAAAGTCAAGCCATCAACAATTAGGTCTTATTATTCAATGCTAAAGAGTACGCTGCTGATAAATGAAAATTGTGAATTTGTGACATACAAGTAAGTAATTAATTGTATGTACCGCCGCAAATCAAAAGCATTGAACCATAGTCACGGTTGTGGTTACTTTTGGTTGTCGGTTAAGTATGAAATGTATTTCCATCAAATTTAATCTAAAAAAGTATAATGAAGGCCAACGGAGGGACTTAACATCTTTAAATGACGATTATAACATATTGATATAATTATTTTACCTACTTCTTATATTCATTATAACACGTAGGTACAAATTACAGTAATATTAATAATATAATAAATAATATTAATGTTAATACCAATTTTTAACTGGGCAAAACTCAGCTTTTATCATGGTTAATTTGATTGCAACCAGAAAGAATGAAATTGTTTCTTTTAAAATATGTATTTAAAGAATATGTGTTTCGATCTTTTTCTTGCATGAATAATAATTTGCGATCATTGCGATTTCTTATTTACGAAGTCATACAATCAGCCTATTTCCAAAATCCAAAATCAGAAATAAAAAATCTCGATTTGTTCTCAAGTTATAGTGTTAACAGCTCCGAATGGACAGGCAGATGGAAAATATAACTCGATTTTAGTTTTTTCTTAAAATTACGTTCAACTTATTCGACATTTTGAACTTTCTCGCATCTAAAACTGCAAAACATTGTCTACTTAACCAATGGGCCACTTTCACATTTTTTATTTATGTGATAAATCAATGCGGAACATAAAGAAATAGGTACCAGTATGCAAAATTTCACAATCCTAAACACACAAACTTTTAAATTATCTAAAGATAAGTTTTCCGCGCGCTTGGAAATCATTTTAAACGCTAGATTTTGCCGGCACATGGTTGTGACGTCACAACTGTGTAAAAGTTCAGTGGCGGTATACTTGCATGTATACTTCAATGCGATGATGTAGCGTATGCGTTTGTTGTTGCTTACGTTTTCTCCTGTGTACCGTGAAATATATCGATGTCTTTCTGACGGCACGTCTTGAGACGGCCCTTCCCGTACGCACTTCGCTTCGAGCTTTGCATGACAGCAATACTCGCGAGCATTGCACGTAGTTACGTTAAAAATCGCAGATTAATGATGGTAATACGAGGGTAATAAGTAAAAAACAAGCAGCAGCAATAGGTAGTTCTTTTAGATCATAATGAAAAAAGTAAAATAAGAAAAAAGGTATCGAGTAGAGTAAAGGAGTGGTAGGTATAAAAAAACGAGGTGCTGCCAATCATATTTATCTATTAATAGAAATCAATGTAAATCACTCTGAAGATTACCAAATTTACTTCCGGATGCATATGCTGACATTAAATATATATTTAATTGTTGAAATTAAATTCGTTAAAATGCCTACAATACATTTTTCTGAAAGTGGCATTGAAAGTTTTACTGTCTCATTCCATCCAATATAATGAATATATATTGTCTTATTTCGAACCTTGTATTCATGCTCGTAATCAAACTACACATTGCAACTTTAAGCGCGCACAGCTTCGCGCCGCGCCAAGTTTTCCGACAGATTCGAAAACGTCAACACGACCCAAGTTGCAACAAAACAAAGTGCTGCTCGTCTGGTCCCTTATTCACGTTCGAGCTTTGCATGAATTCATGTTGGGCAATGTTCGTACAGGCAAAGCTCGAAGCGAAGTCCGTACGTGAAGGGCTGCCTGAAGAGATTAAATGTGGAAAATTTTTAGTCCACCTAAAAATACACTATTCGTACTAATTTTTTTGAACTTTCTCTATCATGTCCCCACCCACACACACACATGCACCCTTTATCGTTTTTTGCGCACAAGACACAAAACAAACCTGGCCGGGCGGACCTTTACAAACCTGGATCTACGAACACAAGAATGTAAACAAATATGGCGACCACAGTTGTGACGTCGCACCAATGGCAGGGCGTTTGCAGCTGACGTCATATTTAAAGGGATTCCCAGTAATTGTTTTTACTACCTATTTGTTTAAAAACAAATGATCTTTTTCAAAAATTAGTATTCGCCTCATGTATGGCGTATATAGTACTTGCCACCTGTGCAAATTTTTTGCTAATAACGAAACCTTGCAAGTAGCCCATTCTCTATCTTTAATAATAACAATGAATGATAATTAAGAAAGTTACCAATGCAATCTTAGGCGATCTGGGACACGCTGTATACAATGATTTCACGGTAGGTAAAATGAATTTCGTAGTTCCAGAGGCTCGCCGAGTAGTCACAATGTAATACAACCACACTACAATTTTTCCGCCATGTTTGTATAACCGTATAACCAATACATACTTCCAAAAAATTTCAACAATTTTCCGTATAAGTAATGCTGTTTTTCTTAAATTAACGTGAATTTTATACATACACCATGGGAGTTCCAGCGTTTTTTAGATGGCTGACCAGAAAATATCCCTCAGTTATAGTCCATTGTGTCGAAGAGAAGGTTAGTCTCAGGAAGTCGTCTTCTTTATTTAACTTTGCTTTTAGCCCGTCAGTGTCAGTGGACAGCGCATTCCTATCGACTCTTCACAACCAAATCCCAATGGAGTCGAGTTTGACAATTTGTATCTTGATATGAACGGCATCATTCATCCGTGCACTCATCCCGAAGACAAACCAGCTCCACGTAATGAAGATGAAATGATGGTGGCGATATTTGAAGCGATTGATCGGTTATTTGCGATTGTAAGGCCTAGAAAATTGCTATATATGGCGATTGATGGTGTCGCTCCACGTGCAAAGATGAATCAGCAACGATCAAGGAGATTTCGCGCGTCGAAAGAAGTTGTCGAGAAAGTGAATGAAATTTCTCGTGTACGTGCTGAATTACTATTAAAGGGAATTCATTTACCTTCCGAAAAAGCAAAAGAAGATCATTTTGATTCCAACTGCATTACGCCAGGTACACCATTTATGGATCGTTTATCTACTTGCCTCCATTATTACGTTCATGACAGATTAAATAATGATCCCGGATGGAAGGGTATAAAAGTAATATTGTCAGATGCAAATGTACCTGGTGAAGGTGAACATAAAATTATGGACTTTATCAGAAAACAGCGAGGTATAACATTCAAATGCGGAAGATGCACTGCGTCAAAGCACATCTAATGTGTGAATAACACATTTAATTGCAGCACAACCTGACCACGACCCAAACACTCACCACTGCTTGTGTGGAGCTGATGCCGATTTAATAATGTTAGGGCTTGCAACTCACGAAGTTAATTTCACTATTATTCGTGAAGAATTTAAACCAAACAAACCGAGACCTTGTGAGATCTGCGGTCAGACAGGTAAGTACACTAGGAAAGTAAGTAATTGACGTTCATTTTTTCTTATTACAGGGCATACATTACAAGAATGTACAGGATCTTTAGCGAACGCAGATCCGGAATCGATCGCAATTGGTTCAGAAGTAGAATTCATATTCGTCAGGCTGAATGTGTTGCGTGAATATTTGGAACGAGAATTGGCAATGCAGAATTTGTCCTTTGACTACAATTTTGAGCGGGCTCTGGACGATTGGGTGTTTATGTGTTTCTTTGTGGGTAACGATTTTTTGCCTCACTTGCCCAGCCTTGAAATTCGTGAGGGCGCTATCGATCGATTGGTGGGGTTGTACAAGGACTGCATATATAAAACTGGGGTAAATAAATTTCTTTAGGGCCGATCTTTCATTCTACTGTTAATTTCCATGGAAACAAATATTCTAAGTGAAAAATGAAAGACCAGGTCATAGTCATGAATTGGTTAGTAATAAGTTAGTTTCAAAACTGCTTAAAGGTAGAGATGTTTATTTTTGGCTCTTTTTACCCAAGTGTAAATGGTTACTTTATAAAGGGTGCAGAGAACCATTTCCTTGTTTGCATTATGGGGCTTTCTCGAGGCCTTTCTGCCAAGCTTATAATGTTGCATGTGTTGCGTTCAGGTTACACTGCCCAGGCAAAACCTTGTTAGTCTCTCAGGTGTTCCTTTACAGTCTTAAGGTCAAGTTCTCTTAGTAGTCACAAATATGGCGCCCTTGGTTTTGTGGCTCTTAAGGTTTTAGTGTTGTTTGCGTGTTTCGATCTATCTGCGAAAATGGATAAATCGGGTTGAAGCATGTCTGCTGCATCAGAATGCGTCAGTGCCCTTCCTTTATGCCCGTGCTCACAAATCGTGAACCTACACATGCAAAGTGGAGGCAGACTTCGAAGGGCCAAGACGGATATTCAAAAGAGTTATTGTAGTGGAGAATTAGAGCCCAGTCTTAAAATTTGCTCCAAAATTGTTCTATAGCCGACTATGGGTCTAATTACAGTAGTGTACAGAGTGGTCCAAATTGGGCACGTTCTTATGGAAACGCCTTTTGTCTTCTACCAAAATCAATTATCTTTAATAATAAGAAAGTTATGGGGACTTAATCTAGAAATCAACTAAATTCTAGAAACGCCCCCTAGCGGCCTAACCATTAGAGATAGCTGAATTCTGTTTGCGCCAGTGATTTTTTCTCGTAAAGTAAATGGTGTTTCTGTGATTCAATAGCACTACAACCCACGCCCTCCACCCCATCCACCTTTTTATTTAAGGTTATTTTTCCAAACTCAATTAACTATGTTCATTAAAAAAAAGAAATAATAAAAACAATCATCAATGGGTGTTTTTGATATTGATCTGTCTGTGAATGTTGTGTTTTTATGCTAGTGCAGAAATTTCGTCTTTCAAATGGACTGACAGGTGGGCGAAATGCTAGTAATAACGGAATTTCGTTCTTGAAAAATCCAAAAAATACTGTAAAAAAGAATCATTTTGTTTATTTATTGCATGTATTAAACGAAATGAAGACATTTCTTTTACAGAGGTGATACAACATTGTTAATTGTCTCGCTAACTCCTTTTATTACTATATTCTTTTCCCTTACAAGTCGCTATTCAGAAAACTTATCAATCTTGTTTGTTGAATTTTGTTGTAAGACACAAACTTTATTCTTAAATGAAGAGTTTTCATTCAATAAATGCAATACATTAGATTTGTCATTGTTTATTTCCATGGAATATGGTTTTTAGCATTTCTTTTAATTGTCATATACACTTTGCCAAACAGCTGTTGCTTTAGTCAATGGTAAACTCTAGCCACTAGGAGGAAAACTGTGACAAGATTGCAGAATTTCGATCAGATTGTGGAAAATACGGTCAGGCTGGTCTTGTTGAGGGTATTAGTGCAGTAAGAATGTTTTTTTTTCAATTCATTTCGGAATTATGGCCAAATTTGAGCAAAATTTTCAATTATCTATCAGTTTTGTGTATAAATTTCTTCATTTTTGGTTGTCCCTGTATTTAAAAATTTAATGTGCTTGATCATGATTTTCATAGCGTGACATCATAATGGACCATGATAGACTGATTAGTGATTACATTGCATAGACTCTAAACTGGACTTTGTGTTTATTTATATGAATGATAGGTCCATACTCTCTTATTTTTACACTGTAATATGGAGTAATGACGGGCCCAGGGAAGTCGTCAACTTAGTGTCTTAGATGACACCTACAGGATATTCATATAGCTTTCATCTCCTTTTCCGAGTCGTGCTGAGTAATAGTACGGTCACTGTAGGTAATAGTAGATATTTACAGTATTTCTTTGTGGGCGCGATACACAGGGGGTGGTTGCAATTGATCCACAAAAATTATGTGAAATTTAAACAGTGTTTAAAATTAATCATAGTTTAATATCCATGGTAACCAAAGCTGTCCTTAGCAAATGCGAGGCCTGGAGCGAAACATTTTTTCTTAGCTATTTTTAACAGATTATCTTTTGTTTTAACTTTTTAATTGCACAAATGGCGCGAAATTTGAATTTTGCGTGCATTTTGGGATATCAGTTACCATTTATTACATAATTTGGTGTATTTTGTAAAGTGTATTGATAATTTTTAGAACTTAAAAACTAAACATTGCATCTATTTAACACAATCTCATGTTTACTATAAGCGATTTTTACAAATTTCTAAAAACTGTTTTACAACACCCTGTGTAGGTAGGCACAACATTGTACATAAAATATGTCTACAATGTTTTGATTAAAAAAATTGAATAATTTTGGTTATGGTGGAGTGTAATGGCCCATGACATTCTGTGTACAAGTTCTTGTTGAAAAAAGGGCACAAATAACTTTTTTATGGAATTCAAGTGGTATTTTAGTATTTTCAAAATTGAGTATCTAGTCCAGTCAAAATAGACGTAAAAATACTGACCAAATAACAAAAACTCCGACAGAGCTGAATTTTGGTAGAGACCTTGGATACACCAGTAGAAATAAGGTGCCAAAAGTCCCCATAGATCCCATGTGTGCTAAAAAAGTTATTCAAGGTCAAAGGTCAAAATTTTCGGTTTTTTGGATTTTTGTCGACAACTGTAAGTATTATGAAACGTATAGCTTATAAAAAAATTGTAGCTCATAAAATTATCTACAAAAATAGTTCTTATATTTTTTCTCCTAAGATATCGCCGTTTTAAGGGTTGAAGGATTTACATTCCACATGATATGCAAACAAATACACTGTATATACACAGTCAGGCACCTAATAAGTAAAAGTGCCTATTTGTGTCTCCTGTACTTGTATATGTACCTATAAAATTCAGAGAATATAAACTCCAAAGATACTCAGTCCCTTATCCAGTCCTTTCTACCGCATGGCCTTGATCAAAATCTGCTTACTCTATTGTCCACGCGGCAGACGCTCATAAAGTGCTGTTTTTCAAGTGACTTAAGTGAAATACTGATAGTGTTGAAAGTTCCTTTCGAGAGAACACACGTTTTATTGCTAGCGTCTACTAGTACCAATTAATATTATACAAAAATGTCAAAATTGTGCAATAAACTTTTGACTGAAAGTGAATCTGTTAAGACCAGGTTATGCAGAGCGCGGTCTCCCCATTTGGGCAGAACGCAGAACGCTGCATTTGCCGTTCTATATACTGGCCACACAGAAACCAGTCTAAAGTTGACGATCTAGTCTAAATTTGTCGTTTATCAAGTGTGGTTATCATTTTTTTTTACTTAAATTTTGTAACAGTGTTTTTTGTGAAGTACATTAAGAAATATGTCTATAAATTCTTCCTACAAAGAAGAGGTACAACCGCTCTCTGTTTGACAGGTACAATACATTTAAATAGAATACAAATATCGCAGACCGCACTCTCCCTGCCAGGGCTTTTACAGTTATTAGTTGTGAAATGAAAACTCCAATTGATGCAAGTATCGAAAGAGCTTATTTTGTGGCGATGAAGCGGATGAAGATCCTTCGTCTAGTAAGAAGAATGAGAAGAAGAAGAAGAAATCCAAGAAGACATAACTGTTGAAGTCGAATTTGAAGAGTACGAATCAGATTAACATATTAACAGGAATCAGAACTACAGTTTAAATCACCTATATATTAATTTCAAGGTCAATAATCATCATGCCGTAAAGACAGTATTTTCCCATAAAAATCCGTCATAACAGATCGTCGAGTAGGCTTACCGGGGAAACCACGTTAAAAAACGCGCCAAGTATACTACCTCACCGGCGCGGCGGTGTGGAAATGTGTAGAATGTAACTCATTCAAAGGGCAATATCTTAGGAATGATGATTCTTAAAGAAAAAAGGATCATTTTTGTAGGTCATATACAATTTTTGTCTGAACTACATGCTACATGTGTTTAGCACAAATGGTATCTATGGGGACTTTTGGTACTTTACTTCTACTGGTGTACCCAAGGCCTCTACCAAAACTCAGCTCTGTCGGAGTTTTTGTTATTTGAAATGTCTATTTTGACCGGACTAATCAGATTAAGTTGATGAAGATCATGCTTGTGTAAATACTCGTATATCTCCAAAATGTTATTTTGAGTATTTTCTATTTGATGATCTTGACAAGATGATTGCGTTACCCTATTTCAAGTCACCACGTTGTCATGTAGTCATCTGGTTTTTTTTTTTAAATGAGATCGGGACATCTTTTATAGCTCCCCCCCCCCTGGTGCTGTTTTTTATTTTTTAATAGAAAACAACTCATATCTAAAAATCCTTAAGACCAAAGTAAGCCACATACGCGATATTTATAATAGAAAACTTTGTTTTAGGGGTATGTAACAAATAACGGAGACGTAAATTTGGAAAGAGTACAAATCATAATGTTAGAGCTTGGAAAAGTCGAAGATCAAATTTTCAAAAAAAGACAGGAAAATGAATTGTCCTTTAAGGCTCGCGAGAAAGCAAAAAAGAGGCGCATGGAGGGGTTCAACAGATCTGCACCGGATTGGAGACTCGTCAAGGACACTCAATTTGCACCTTCGGTAAACTTGTGTAATTATTCCAATGTGTTTTTTAATTTCAAATTTCCAGTTGTTGGGACAAGTCCAACCCGTTCGAAATCCACGTCAGGAAGCTTACAACATTCGCAAAGCCGGTATGCACTTTGTACCCGCACAAGATCAAGGAAACTCAAGACAGTCTCAGTCCCAACAGTCAAACCAAGCTGACGAAAGAAGAGGCGTTAAGAGGGCAAGAGAAGAGGACGACGATGACGATCAGGCTCACGATGAGGTTAGACTGTGGGAAGACGGATTTAAAGATCGCTATTATGAGTCCAAATTTGATGTGGGTCCCGATGATTTAGAATTTCGGTATGTATTTACGCGGATCTGCAAGGCTAATTCTTTAACTTGCTCTTTTTTGCAGGTACAATGTCGCCCTGCAGTATGTAAAAGGGTTGTGTTGGGTTCTACGCTATTACTACCAGGGATGTGCTTCTTGGAAATGGTACTTCCCGTATCACTATGCCCCTTTCTCCTCCGATTTTATCAACATTTCCGGTCTTAGTACACAATTTGAGCTTGGCACTGAACCTGTAAGTGGAACAAAAGCTTTAATTTCTTCTAATAATAATCTTGTTACTGCTACAGCAACATTACATCATATGAACCTGTACCTAACCTTGATTATAGTAACTGTGTTATTTCCAGTTCAAACCATTTGAGCAACTTATGAGCGTTTTTCCTGCCGCTAGTCGTCAACATGTACCATCGCCATGGGCGGAGCTTATGACAGATCCGGTATGTGTATCCGTAGCAATGTAAGCAAATAACAAGAATGTTCCCCTTCTAGAATTCCATCATTATTGACTTTTATCCCGAAGATTTTAAGATAGATTTGAACGGTAAAAAGTTCGCGTGGATGGGTGTTGCACTTTTACCTTTCATTGACGAAGACAGGCTACTGCGTACAGTTGCTCCGAAATACAAACTGTTAACAGATGAAGAGAGAAGAAGGAATGTGAGAGGTGATGATAGATTGTACATTGGGCGATGCAATAAGAGTTATTCGTTTGTAAAGGATTTCGTTAAGAGCGGAAACGACACAATTGAGAGTGGTATTACTTTTGATGGTATGCAAGGAACGATACTTTTCTCAAATAATTGCGTACAACAGGATGGGTTATTTATTTCTCCTTTGTGTTTGCCAGTGTACTCATTAACCATTGTAGGTCTTTGGTGTCCCCCATCCCTGGCCTGGACACAATTGAAAATAACACAGTATGCTGTGTGAAGTATCGGGATCCAAAATATCCAGTAGGATACATTTTCCAAGCATGTCGGTTGAAGGGAGCCAAACCGCCTCAGAATGTATTGAAACCTCAAGACTTGGATGCGGAAGCGAGTAGGAATTGGCGACCGATGATAGGAATGGCACCATCAACCGTTAGGTTGGTAGATACATCTAAGTGTGTGACATGTTGTTGTTACACACCGTTAATTTTACAGAGCAACAATTGGCAACGTAGGACACAGGATGCTTAATCACCACGTTCCCAAACCTCCTGGTGCATATGGAAATGTCCCTCCACCAAATTATGACCGACAAGGTAAGTTAATGGGGTTTTGGATGTCTATATCATAAGGAATATCAGGAAGTATATGCTATCCATTTTCACGTTTTTTTAACATTATTATTTAATTCGTTTCCATAAACGTGCGTGTTGAGAAACACACATGCCCTTGGCAAACAGTTACTGTGGTTCTGGTCCTTTTGTCAAGACCTGATACAGTTACAGTGTATGTAACTACGTATCAGTAACATCACTTATATACCTTTGACTGTCAAGTTTTCTGTATTATGTTGTTAAAGCAAGGGTTGGGTAATATGGGGTATGTGTAAGGTCTGGAGCAAAACAGGTAGGTAGGTCATCAGGTCTAGGAAAGTGTTTGTACTCAAGAGGTGCACACAAATGTTAAAGTTGAGAATTAACAGACAGGCGGAAGTCAACATCAATTTGTGTAAAGTGAACCTTTTATTAAAACTATAAATAACATGTAATAACCCAAAAACGCGCAACTCAAAACCAAAAATCAAAACTAACTGAAATTCATGGCACATGAACACATCAAGTAACAAATCTGTCTAGTGATCAGACCTATGTTGTGTTGTAAAAGGAGTTGCTCGAGGATCGGTTAACATAAATAAAACGCAAAAAATGGGGAGAGGGAAATGTGATTAATTATGCTAATTAGAAAAACAAGGAAATTCATATTCAAATCAGGGTTGCCCTCTGTTAATCACACGGGAATAGTTCTAGGGGCTTCATTGATTACAAGGAAGGAAAAATAGAGCTATTGAAAGCCTTTACACTGATATTTAAAATATTGTGCCACCATTTTTCACTGACATGAAATTATTTACTAAGACTGTTATGTAACCTAGCCAGACTTTCACACAAAGGGTAGAGCTTATTTTTTAAAATTTAACTTTGGTAAGGAAATAACTTTGGTATGGCAAATTTGGCGTATAAATCTAAAACTAAAAAAATGAACATCAATTTTATTTAAACAAATGAAAAATTAAAAATTTCTAAAGATCAAACATTCATAATAAATAATAAATTTCTTCCATGGGGATCGCAGTCCCCATTACACTTGCCGCATTGCCACGTTGTATAGCAATACTTATTTTTTGTCTTAAGTAACTAGTAGCTCGGGGTTCTCCAGTAATACTGGCAATACGTTTTCCTAAACACTCCACAAAATTACGAGCCTCTGTGCACCAAGGTCCCAAAGTCTCTACTGCGAAAGGTATAAAAATATGGTTCTGTTCTATAATTGAACTATATTTCCTTATTTTTATACCTGCCGCAGATTCAGCTACTAAAATAACATTCTTTTCTCTAAACAAAAACTTTTAAAACAAAATAAAAATAAATAAATATGGAATATTCAAAATATGTTTAGAACATAGAACCAAATTGGGAACAAATTTTTAGTTGTTGTTGAAACATGCAAACATCGATGCTAAGTAAATAATAAAAACAATTGAAAATAATAATAGCAATAACAATAATAATTGCAATAATAATAAGAATAACAATAATCAATAAATAACCTAAAACAAATGCTGAAAAGGTCAATTTTTATGCAAAAAATATGCATCAAATATATTTATCTATGTTACCTCTACTGTCGAAGTAACCCCGTTTTACGTTACTGTCAATATGATGCAAAAATGCAGAACTTTTTGTAAAGAATACATTTTCTCGAAAAATGAAAGAAAAAATGGTCGATTATAGGTATAATCAACTCATACTGTATATGCACCGCATAGAACTGCAGAACCATTTCTTATGCTTTATGTTAAATGGATCAAGGTAAGTGCATTTTTAATTTTGTTTATTTAGTATTGCACAGTGTAATTGCGTACATTTGGATACAAGAGTCATGAGTTCGAGTCCCGAGTAAGGCATGGTTGTTAGATTTGTGCCACCATGCTCAGAAAAGCCCCGGAAAATATGCGCACTAATTTTGAAATAATTCAGGCTGACCAATAGAAAGTCTGCAAAACGACGCGGTACATTCCGCGCCATAATGATTAATTATTCCGTTTTGACAGTTGACGGTTCACGTTATTTTAGTTTAAACTTTGCTTCTTGTATGTGCTTTATTTTACGTTTTCAGTTTTATACACACTCGTCTTTTTCAAGACGCATATAGCTTGGATCTACGATCTGTAAGGTATGTAATTCCTTTAAAGTGGTTTTAAATTTTGCATCTGAATGTATACGGTCTAAATTTCTATCGGACACGCCCTGTCAGGGACTTTATGAGCGTGGTGCCACTATACTTATAGTCTTATGTGTTGGTACGTGAGACACAATGGGGAAGGGATTTAAATAAAACTTAGAGTTTAAGTGCGTAAGAAAAGACAAGAAAAATGAAATATATTTTTTATTATACTTCATTGAAATCACCTTATTCATAGAACAACAAACTTAGAATGGAAACTCTAATGTAATGTAAAAATGACGCGCCATCTCGTGTATGTTCTCAGCAGCTTTTGCGTGAATGGCGCCAAATTTAAATATTAAAATGTAAGCTACGTCCGCATTATACTGCATTTCTCCGGATCTGTAACAATAACATTGGATTTGACTAGCTGAAACCTAAAAGGTAAATGAATCCAGCCAGTGAAGTCCAATTTTGTTTGTTAGGGATCCAGATAAATTCAGTTTAATGCCGATGCACCTCAACAGTCAGGGGCTTCAAAGAGTACAGACCACTTTATAAGTAACAACTCCAATTAATCCAATCAAGGAGTTATATTTAATTTAATATGGATATACAAGATACAAGATCAACTTCATGGAACTCTACACTTTATGATGCTCTCAAGATCGTTCTAAAAATAAAATATGTAGCAATTTATTACAATTCAATTAGTGTTACCTGCTAAAGATAATGTGCGAACTGCCACACGCTTTAAACCTCTTCGTGTTCCAGGTTCTAAAGCGCAACCAGAAAAATGACGTTCACAAACCAAAAACTTTTGTGTAAATTTCTTCCACATTATGTTCTAAACCAATTCTATAAAAACTTCGGGCTCCATTTTTGGGAAACGTCTTCACAATTTGTCACACAACATTTACGTTTTCGATTTGTATATGCATAATTCATTGTAATAATGAATAGTAATTATACTTAAAGCACAATAAGCTGTCAATCAAAATTCAAAATTCAACTGTCATAATGGCGACACGTACTAAAGTCACTAGATTTAGTAACTTTAACAAGCACGCTAAATATGCGCCATCTATTGAATGTTCTCCAAACTAATTATATTTGTACTCAGTTGTTCCCGTTTACGTTTCCCTTCTAAGTTTTTTGTTCTGGGAGTTGGGACCTTATTTACACCTGTATTAGAAACAATGGTATCTGGCCTTTTCCAGGCTAGCGCACGGAAAAACTTTTCCCCTTTGATTCTTTCCGTGCGCTGAATATAAATACCCAAAATATTGCTTTAAAATACAAATTTACAGGGAAGTAAACTAATTTTCAGAAATTCTATATGCGTTGTAATGTTTCATATGTAAGTATTTTGCGTTTTAATTCGTAGATGTTTGAATATTTATACTCTGTTTTCTAACTAGGAAGACGGATTTAAAAGTTCCCGCAAAAAATCTTAGTTTCTATTGGCTCGCGCTGCGCCCGTTTTACACCCAGGTAAAATTGCTATTGACATGATTTAACTGTCAAATTTAATCGCGATTCTCGTCCGTAACTGTTGTACTTATTTTTGAGTTTTTCTGTGTTCTGAGTCCATTTGCATAAATTTTAACAAAAAAAAACAGTTCTTTTAAGAACATAAGTTGATATTTCGCGTCCTAAGTGTACTGGCATTGGTGATGGATTCAACTCCAAGTACCAGTAAAGCAAGCTTGTCTCCTTTGAAAAAACGTAGTCGCCTAAACTTAGGTCATTTTATCAGTCTCCGAGAAGCAGTTTATTATAAACAAATGTTGTCTGATTCCCGGATATGAATTTTGCTACGCTTGTGTTGAAGATTGCATCTACCAGAGGTAACGTAAATAATGATGTAGCTGGTATATATTTGGTTATTAAAGTGTGACACATATTAGGAATATTATTATTGCACGATCTACAATATACCGGATAATAAAAGAATATCGAAGTACTGGGATTGTTACCCCTTCGAAACGTTCCGGTGGTCATAACGCTGTTGCAAATGTGAGCTCTGACGATTGGCGGAATTGTGTGCAACACGTTACTAAGGAAGACAATAAGATGTGTAGATTGGATGGCCTAATGGACACACTTATAGAACCATTAATTATTTCACTCGGATCGGAGGACAGTGACAGTTTTAGTGAACTTTCGGAAGACGGTGACTAAATCGCTTATACATAAAGCAGTGAACTGTGCTGTTTAATAATATGACTATAATTCCATTGTTCTGAATTTGTTCAATAACTTAACATTTGTTGTAAATTGTAATGTGGATTGTGTAGTATTACAACTGATAAAAACATTTAAAATTATAATTCAAAATAATGTTTCAAAGACCAAAAAATGTATGCAGGATGATTACCTATTATCAATGTATTACCTATTTATTATAATTCGCTTTTAAAAGTATGATGTATGCATAATATAAAGGAGTTCCTACCAAATAATAACCCAAAAGCATAAATCATGAAATCTATCCAAATGTGAAAGAAAATCTCATCACGCAACCCACAATACATGTCTGTATAAAATGAGTCTATTATTTTTGTTACTAGATTCTAGTGACATTTCCAGTGTAAATCAGGTTTTTAAATCCGTCTTCCTAGTTAAAAAACAGAGTATAGATAAACTTCTTTGAGATTTTGTGACATTTTTTGACGTTTCGTCAACCTTATCTGAAATAAACTAATTAAACAAATCGCCTTTGAAATGGTTTGAGAGTAACCATGAAAACGCATTTTCTATAACTGTTACAAAATAAAAATGTTGGCGAGTTTGTTGTTTTTTGTTATCGATTTAAAAGAAGTATAATAAAAAATATCGTTCATTACATGTCCAGAAATGCTTTTTCCGT